TTTCTTATCCTTATATATCTCAGGTTTTCTTATATGTAATACTTTCATTGTTGGGAGTTCCTCATTTAACAGTTTTATTGAGAAAGAGCGAAGTGAGTTATCCTAGTTGAAGTTTTATTATCAGTAATTTTAAATTATTGCCACACTCTTGTGACCATTTCCAATTTGTTTCTTTCCTTATATTTTTGTTTAGCCATTTATATATTTGGTGTTGTGTAAACCAAGAGATGATTGATTCAATTTCTCCTTTTGTTTTAATAAGTTCCTTAATTGACATGTCAATATTGTTACTATTTTATTTATGTCTAAATTGTTACTCTCGTAAATATTTAGGATTTATTGAAAAGATAAATCCTGAATTTGATTCGAGTTTTGCTAATTCGTCTACTCTTTCATTGTTGTAATCCCCTTGATGTGCTTTGATTTTTTCTAGTTCTAAATCAATTTCTTTTGTATAGATTAATTCTTTAATTGTTTGCAATATTAATGGATTACTGTAATTACTCCTGTATTTTCCTTTATGCTCATTGGTGTAACCTTTAATTGCTTTAATTGAGGATTCACTATCTGTAATTATTTTTATCGAAGTTTTATTAGGAATTACCCATAGGACTGAAAGTATAATCCATAGTTCAGCTCTTGTTGATGAAAGTGAACCCTCAACTTTCCCTTTCCATTCAATTCTTCCTAAGTTGAGATTTTTCACGAGACATATTGCTCCAAAGCTTATACGTTGTCTTTTTAGTTCTATAGAATTTGAACTATTTGAGGTCACATCTGTGATAAGAGATTCATCTGTGTATACTATTATTTGTTTACTTCTTTGTAATTTTCTAGTATATTCTTCTAACATTTCTAAAGTTTGTGTATCGGTATCAATGATTTTTTGTAAAAAAGTTTGATTATCTATATTATGATTAAATTGTTTTTTTTTACTTTGTTTTGGATTATTTTCATGATAGTGTCATAGAGAGCTAGGAGATATCACAACTCTGGTTTTGATTCTTTTATCTTCTGGATTTCCAATTGAGACCCGTGAGTTTCTAGTTGGTAAATGATTAACTTTTGTAACCTCTACTGTGATTGCACAGTATTTAGTATTTGATCCTTTATTTTTGTATCTAGTGTGGAGAGTGATTCTTGTAACGGACATCCTTCACATGCTTTAAGTGATGAAAATGTCTCCTGTTCTGTTGTTTCTTGAATCATATGCCTTTTCACTACAGTTTGGTCACGTGATTTGAGCTCACGAGTTATTTTTTTCATGATAGGTCCTTGCGAATGGTCTGTAGTTATTATTTTACCTTTTAAGTTTGAAAATTTGTCTATTAAGGTTAGTCTGTTAATAGGATTTGCATTTGATGAGTTCTTTATATACTCCCATTTTTGTTCTATTTTGTTGCTGAGGTCTATATACCAGGTTGTATTATGTTTTGGGATTTCATATTAATGGATCTGTTTTAATTCCAATATTTTTGTCATATCTGCATTTAGTAATTGTTCAATATACATTACTCCATATCTTTTTAAACTGTTTTGATATTTGTGATACCATATTTCTGAATTCATAAATGATTCAATATCTAAGTTTCCTCCCCTAATCAGAACGGGAAATTCTAGTTTATTGTTAATTTGTATTTCAATATTATTTACTGCCAATAATTTCATGATCTCCCCAGTTAGATTAAGGTTTCTCACTTTGAATTTTAATATTATTTCTTTTTCTCATATTGGATGTGTGGTTCACATATAATCTTGTAACTTTTGAATTCGTACTTTAGTTATCCAACTGGTTAGGTCCTTTTTATTTATTCTATTTATTATTTCTGTTGCATGTACTTGTAGTTGTCTATCGTGTAGGTTAAATAATTTGTATCCTAATGGTGAATATAGTATGCTAGTAGGTAATTTAGCTGAATGTCCACAAGAGTGACGGAAACAAGATCGTATTTTAGCATTAAGTTTTTCAAGGTCTTTTTTTGGATGTACCAAATCTTGCATTAGGTATTCTATTTGAGGGAATAGAATATGATTCAGGATGTAGTGACTTTGTTTATCAGTAAGCTGCTTTCTATTCATTATGGATGTGGTTCTAAAAACTTTTTCTTTTATTAGGCTTTTTTGATATGTTTTTTTTCCATTTTCTTGTATCCAAATACCTAGGTATCTAACTGCTTCAGTGGATTTCTTTGGGATTATTTAATTTTCCATAAAATCGATTACATTCTTATAGTCTTCTTTGTGTCCATTTACGAGGATTAATTCTGATTTGAATGCGTTAACACTTATTTTATTGAGGTCAAAAAACTCTTGAACTATTTCTAAATTTTCTTGCATGTGTTGTTTGTTTTGTGTAATCTATACTGTATCATCCATATATATCAGAGATAATATATTTCATGTTTCATATACTTGTTCTTGTAGGGTCATGTCCATTCTCCATTTAAGTTCCATATTATAACCTTTATTTATGAATTCAATTTCAGCTAATAAAGGGTCATAGAAAATACACTATAAGAGTGGTGAGATTGAATCTCCTTGGTCTACTCCTTTAAGTATTCTGCATGATTCTGTTAATCCGTATTCTGTTAATTTTTTATCCAGTGCGATTTTCTTTTATAAAGTTGATTATATTTACGATAGCCGTTGGAATTTTGAGTTGTTTTAGTGCTAGGCTCATTATTTTTTACATTGACCAAGTCGAAAGCCCTTCATATGTCTTGAAATAAAAGCCAAAGTTTTTTATTGTTTTTTTTTTGCGTCTTCCAGTACATTATTAATAATATGTATTGGATATGATGTTCTTTCATCCAGGAGGCCAACGTAGTTATTTCCTATTAGTATTTTGTTTTCGATTAAAATATCTGATAATCTTATTGTGACTATTTTTGTAAAGATTTTCCTTGCAGTTTCCATGAGTGTAATTAATCATATGATTTCTAAGTTCCCTTCTCAATCTTTAGGCTTGGGTATTAGTGTTACATTACTATTTATCCAGTCATTAGGGACTACTCCGATTTCTATTATTTTATTATAAAGTAAGCAAAGTAATTTGATGCCATTCTCTTCTAAGTGTTTAAACACTTCATAAGGTATTAATGATGGTCCTGAAGCTTTATTATTACTCATGAGTTTAATAACTCTGATGATTTCCTCTTCATATATTGTTGCTATTAGTGGATTATAAATAGTATCTTTGATATTATTTATAGGTTTGTATTGTTATGCCCATCTTCAGTTTAACATATTGTTGGTAATTTCAGTACCTTCTGTCCATTGGTATAAGTGTTCTTGTACACAACTTTTAATTTGTTCAGGATTGATAATTATTGTAACAGTATTATCGTTATGATTCTGTATAATCCTATCTAGAACTATTTGTCTCGATTCTCGATTTAATATTCTGTTTATCATAAACTTTGGTTCAGTATTTAACATAGTTTGTCTCACATTAATTTTCTGTTTGATTTCACATTGTCTTTCTTTTATCAGATCTCTTTTTATAATCTTTCTGGTAGTAGTTCACCATTGTTTTATGTTTTCTATCCATTTCTCTTGAACTAATTCATTATCATTTGAGGGATATGGATCTATATTCACATTGTGGGTAATAGTAAGTTTTGAAGTGATTTTAGAAATTGAGCTAAGATATTGGTTCGATTTATTCGAGTATTTATTATCCTTTAGTTTTTTTCCCAATTTATATAGTTTATTTGCTAGATTTAATATTGGATAACTTGGATGTTTACATCATATAACATTTGTACAGTTTTTTGGTTCTTTGTCCTTGGGTAAATATTGATTGCCTGCTGTGATCAATATTGATTTGAGTGATTGCTATATCGATTCTACTGTGTTATTATTATTCTCATGTAACGAGAGATATTGTCCAGATGTTTGCTCAATTTGTGTTGTAAATTGTTCTCAATTTTCTTTATTTGCCATTTTTAGATTCCATAATCTTGATATCCGATAATTCATCTTTTTATATTTCGTTAAGGTATCTTTGTCACAGTACTTCTGTACATTTATTTTCGTTATTACGCATGAATGATCACTTTTAATTATTAAGGACGTATCTTCGATTTTTGCATTCATTATCATATTTTTATTGGTGTCATGTACCCATATTGAGTTGATTCTACTCTGACTTCTAAGTACATTATTGTAATATTGGTGATATGAATATTCTTTTTTATCTCCATTTATAAATCTGTATGTATCAACATATCCACTATATATGATTGATTGTAGGATGTTTCCCTCTGGTGAAGTTTGTTTTCGTTCTGGGAGGCGATCTTTTTTTGGGTTAGACACTGCATTCCAATCTCCTAATAATATTGAGATCCAATTATTTGATAATGCTTGAGAAATTTGATTATATA